ATAATCGGGGCGAACCGGGATTCAAGGTCAAATCAACGTCAAATTTTCGCGTATTTCCCCCATCCCCGTCCTCATGGAACATGTGTATCCTCACTACTAACTATAAATTACCTGATTTCATTACATATCGAAAACAAAACTGTAACGCTTTTTTAGACGTATATTTTATATATCAGAGATGGTAATCGATTGTTCGAAATTGGCACACATCATTGTCAATGACCCAGGTTCCATATTGCACATATGGAACAGTAGATTTTCAAGGTGAAGGTCATCTCTTCTCAATACCTTGTATGGCCACCAATAGTTTCCCAAACTGACTGGCATCGTCGTCCCAGGGAAGCTATCAGATCCCAAATAGTGGCCTGGGGTATGTTTACCCATTCTGCCTGCAGTGCTCGTGCCAGCTGTAGGAGGTTCTGTGGATGTTGCTGACGTACTTGCAGTCGTTGATCAAGTGCATCCTATAAATGTTCGATTGGGTTTTAATCTGGAGACCTGGAGGACCATGGCATGACCTGGATGTTATGATTCCTTTAAAAGGCTGTCAGCCTTGCCGTGTGAGGTCCGGCGTTGTCGTGTTTGAAAATGACGTTCGCTTGTTGCATAATTGGCAGGACGTATGGCCAAAGAATCTCATCCATGTGACGTTGTGTAGTTAAATTCCCCAGAACTTGCACCAAGTCTGTTCTGTCAGTGTAGAAGATGACTGCCCACATCATAACACTACCACCACCAATCTGTGCACTTCCCGTGTGAAGTTTGGCGCATAACGTTCCCCACGACGCCTGTAAACACGACGTCTACCATCCACACGGCGAAGCATAAAACGTGACTCGTCACTGAACCAAACTCGTCTCCATCGCAGTTGTGGTCATACTCCGTGACCTTGACACCATCGACGTCGCAGCCGTTGATGCAGTTCCGTCACAATGACGTCACAGTCACCTCGAACTGGTCGTCTAGCACAAATACCATCACCGCGGTAAACGGTTCCTCACTGTCTGGGCTGATATCCTACGCAATCCTGGTATTGCTGTAGTTGTAGGGGTGACCGTGGCAGTTCTTTCACGTAAGTGACCTTGCCCCGTGGCTCCTGTGCTCTAGTAGTGCTACGTGGTCGACCAGATCTGGGAACGTCCCGTGTTGTCCCGTGTGTCTTATACACAGTCTTGTAATGGTGCTTGGTGCAACGTGGAAAATCGTGGCTACACCTGAAGATGATTCTCCTGTTTGCAATCTGCCGATGGCGTTGTTACGTTAGGCTTCCGTCAGTCGTGGCATGTTTTCGCTGTTCACTAAGATGGTAAGATAGTGATGGCATGCAAAATAAAATCAAAAGTTTTTATAGCCCAACAAGTGATGTTGCACGTGCATGTCATATTGGTGTGTGTCGGCGCGAGGCTCTTAAGTGGTTGTGTTTTTTCGATTTTTCAATCTTTTCACCAAATTTCTGCAGTACCCCATTCTTTCTACACAAGTAATAGTAAAACTACTAAGAACCCACATTGTACAAGTCTTTTCTTATGATTAGTTGTATTGGGTCCCAATATACTGCAAAACGTTTACAAAATCAGTTTTAATTTAAGGCAAATAAAAGGTCATTTTACCTGGGTCCAGTGAACATTTCCTGAAGTCAATGTTAGTTGTATTGTGGACTAAAATGATGGCTGCCTATTCCTGATGCTGTCTTAGTGCTAAGAATGATGTAAAGGCGTCGCAGCGAAAAATGATCTTAGCCAAATCTATTATTAAGCTGCCTTAGTGCTAAAGTTATCCTAAGTTTACCACAAAAATTAGACAGAGTCGGACCTGTCTGAGATGTCCATCATGACAAAGACAGATTTGTGACTAGGCCCCTGAACAATGGCAGAACCAATCATAGGCCAGGGTGAGGGGAGACTAACCGGACGGTGCTGGTGGTAGTGGAGGCTGCGCCTTTGTATTGTCTATAACATTTATTATTGATGTCATAAATAAATAAAATAATACTGTAACAAGGTCAATTATTATGAGTAAAAACAACAGTTTACATCCAGCTACATTTGTGGTCTTATGGAGTCTCCATGGTTTTTAGGAGTCTTTAGAGTGGTACAGACATTCCTCTCAAACACCCAAAGACGACCTTGAATCCCGGTTCGCCCCGATTATGTTTCTAGGTTTGTCAGCATCATACCCGTGCTCGTGTTTTGCACCGAAGTGGTAAACGTCTGAGACCTGCATCACTTCTGGCTTTTCTCCCACATTAAGCTGACACGCCGTGATATAACTGGAATACTGATAAAAGCGGCGTTAAACTTAACTCACTCACTCACTAATCAGTTAGTCGTCTTTAGTTATGCAAACATAATTTGTGACCCACCATAAGATAAGGGACCTCATGGGTGAAAAATCACATTTTGACTTTTCATTATATTTCAAAACTACATCATCTTAGGAACACTATGGAACACTAGTCCAATTTTCAGACGTATAACTGTTTATGTAATAATTGCAAGTTTTAGATATAATGTCTGATTAAGTGAAAGTATACACGTATGGTGAAATGTTTTGAAATAATGTTTGTATTAAATCACGAGCTAACAAGAGAAAATACAATATCTTTGTACGCCGCACACAAGGCCCTTTTTATATGGAAGTAAGTCGACGTCAAACGTCCCTCTTTATTTTTAATTTTAGTTATCAATGCTGATAATAACTTTGGTTAACTGGCTGTCTTATTGACATTATAAAATGTTGAATACACGTCCAGGTGAGCTACAGTGCTGTGGCCACCGAATGGGTATGTTGTGTAAGAAAATCTGTTAAACAAGTCTGTTAGCCCTTAATGTATTTTGATTCGTTGAAAGAGAGGAGACTATGTTTGGGAAACAGTTTGTTGTGGCCTAGCATATGTCAGCTATGTCACAGCGGGAAGCCATTACCATCACTTGGCTTATCATACGTTTAGGGGCGGTCGGGTAGCCTAGTGGTTAAAGCGTTCGCTCGTTCGCCGAAGACCCGGGTTCGATTCCCGACATGGGTACAATGTGTGAAGCCCATTTCTGGTGTCCCCCGCCGTGATATTGCTGGAATATTGCTAAAAGCGGCGTAAAACCATACTCACTCACTCACTATCATACGTTTAATCAACATAAACAAGATGCAAGAAAAAATGGGTGATCAGAGGAGCATCACACAAACACCTGAACTTTCTCCAGGGTGCATCTGCGTTGTTGAAAGAGTGAGTGTGTGTGTTTGGTGATATGAAAGGTAAGATTATTATATACGATAAACACAAGATATGATGAGACCTGCTTTGTGGCCAAGGTGAATATGAGTCCCAATTATTGCAGGAGTTAAGGATACTACAGATTGACAGATGGCAGATGGTGAAATATGCACCAGGACAAGCCGGTCAGAACCAAATGTATCTCACATGACTTAGATTGACAGATGACAGATGGTGAAATATGCACCAGGACAAGCCCGTCAGAACCAAATGTATCTCACATGACTTAGATTGACAGATGAGATGGTGAAATATGCACCAGGACAAGCCCTTTTAGAACAAAATGTATCTCACAAGACTTAGACTGAAGGACAACAGATGGGGAATGACGCAAGTCATGACCTCACAGTCAGGTGAGCTCAAAAATAGAACAAGCATTTCGGATTCTTTGAAAAGTAATCTTATGTGCAGAGTCAGTTAAGCTTGCCTATTATTGTAACCAACCGTCTTGCACCTCTACCCATTGTACCGACTAGTATATCATAACATTTTGTTATTTGGCAAAGGAAATGATAAAAGATAGATTAATCTTGTTTAGGGTTGACAGAATCCGGATTCCAAATTTGTGTTAGAAGTCTCACCTTAATCCTATCTGTGTTGACAGACGGATGTTATACTGCCCAGATGCTGATGTGACACTGACAGAGAGAAGCTATGTGTCACGTGGAGTTTAGGTCTCCACATAGAACAATCAATCATTCCTAACTGAGAGGAACACTGTCATCTTAATACTTGTGTGCACCAACTCCTGTCTGTTCCCCGGCATGGTGTCATGTGTGGTGTGTTTTGTGTGGTGTGCTGTTAGCGCAATAATCTAGCAGACGCCACCTCACCTTGTCAGATAAGCTAAAGATATAAGCAGTTGTCAGGGTTGATTTGATAACGAAGGTGTTGCTGTTTATTTACTGTCTAATGTGGTTTTAATGATTTCAGAAGACAATTTGATCACAGTAGCGCCAGAGTGAGTGAGTGAGTGAGTTTGGTTTTAGGCGGCTTTTAGGGATACTCCAGCAACATCACGGAGGAGGACTTAGTAAAACCATCATTGCTGTGACATCATCAAAAAAGGAAAAGTTGTGTAGATGTCACTGCTTATAATAATTATCATCTACACAAAGTTCAGCTCGATCACTGTGATATATTTACTTTTATCATCCAAAACTGGCTCCCACTGGAGATATGGTTGGGTGAGATCAAGCTTGTAGATATCTCTGCAATGAAATTGCACCACAATACTTTTCAGACCATTTTGATGTCATTAGTTACCATGACGTCACAATCAAATGACATCACTGATGGTTCTTCTACTGAAGCTGTCAGCAGTACTTTTTACACTTAAGACACTGTAATTACTGTCTACAAACTGACAAAGTTGGAAGAACGATGTTGGATGAAAAATAAAACCTCACCCTTGTGTCTTTCGATATCAAATATATCAACGCTCGCTGATAAAAGTGTTGATATATTTGATATCAAAAGACTCTGGACCAGGCAAACCAGTGAGTGAAGGCATGAGCACAGACCCATCTTAAGTCTGCTAATACAAGCGTGGCAGTGTGTGGTTGAAGCGCTCGCCTGTCGTGCTGAACACTCATGATTCCCAACATGGCCACAGTGTGTGAAACTCACTTCTGGTGACCTTGCTGGAATATTGTTGTAAGGGTGTAGAACCCAACTCACTCACTCATACACCCTGGTCCCAACAAAGTACATACAACAAACAACTAACTGATTTGATCATAATTTAATGGACACAAAAATCAACAGTGAATTTGACTTAGAGTTTCATCCGAGGATTACAATGATACAGTTGATTGGATTTCAACATACAGCCTGTCTGAGTAATAGTCATAAATACAGCTATAGTTCCAGGTTCACAAGCGCTCATCACAGCCTTGAGAGGAACACACCAAGTGCCACCTGACCAGCTGTTCCGAGCTACACCTCAAGAACTGCAACACACATAATCTGTACAGACAGACACCTGTAGCCCCCCTCAGAGAAGTGACACAATTAATGTATCCCCATAGTTTGGTGTTGATTACATTATCAGCCCTGTATCTTAAAGGGGCTCTCTGAGCAAGGTTATTCCATAAGCTTGGATCTAACATACAGGATCCAGGGTTATGGCCAAAACCGAGTGTCATGTTTGAGAAATATTAAACAGGTTTATAATTAATGTCAGAATCTTGTTGAACCTGTTTCAATAGAAATGAAAAGAATGAAACTGATAAAAGCGCTTTATTATAAAAAGGTAAAGGGACCGTCACATTGATTGATATTTGAGTCAAGTTTAGGCAAATAATGTTCCATTGTTCTTCACTTCTGCCCCTGAGATTCACCCTGCTGTCAATCGAGTCTTAACCCTAAACAAATTCTTTAAATAAAAAGGCTGCAACATTTCCTCATAAACTGTTTAGACAAGTCAGTATTTGACTTCACCCTCCAAATTAAAAAGTAGTTCTTTGAAGTCTCAATAAATAACACTACCAAAAATGCATTGACCATTTAGAAGGACTGTTGAACGGATCTGTCACATTCTTACATTCAAAACTGAAACTTACTAGTTAAAACAAATTTGATTGAAAACTGGATTGCACAAAAATTATAATAAAACAACTCTTTGTACCCCCAAAATCACATATTCCATTTCAGATATGTGTATCATGAGCAGTTTTGTGGTGAACATCTCCCCTTTAAAGCATCACCTCCAGAGGCAATAAGGATAGGTTTTGTTAAGAGAAAAATAACATGGCAGCCATATTGAATTGCATCCTAAACCCCCCAACCACCCCCAATCCCCCTACTGTTTAGACCTACATCCAGTCTCTGTCACCTCTGTGAATGAATCTCAAGAAACATTGTGAGTGTTGTGAGATACATAAGAGTAATTTTTCTAAAGTCTACACTACTATGTTTATGTTGGCCTTTCTTGAAGCTATAGATATAGGAAAAAACAGGATATAGTTTTGGCAACTGGAATAATACATTAAATGCTTCATTTAAATCATATGACACAATCATACTCATATAGTCCCTGCAGTAATATTGGGATAACAACTTATTCCAGTTCTTTTTATTAATATTTTTGTCATATATATTCAGAATTCTTGTGCACCAAGAGGCCTTACATGTATCAATAAAGTTATAACACATAAAACATTTATTTATAAATAAACATATTTCTATATCTATCATGTTAACAGTGCAGCGAGATACTGGTTCCCTAAGGAGGAACCAGAACAACCTAGAAGCTAGTATATCAGAACAGCAGGTCATAACATGACAATGAAGTTTGGCACGCTTTACCATATATACCAGGCTTAGATATTTGAGCTCAGATATTTCTTATAGCATATCAACACATTTTGGTCCTTTTTCAGCACAAATTGAGAACAAACTTGGGTATAGATCACTTGATGATAGTCCTTGTTAAATAGAATATAGATGTATCATTTCAGAGACTAAGTATCATGATACAATACTACATACCTGCATCCACTGAACAGCATCTATGCAAGACCATATGTAATCAACAATGAAACATTATCACAGCTCGACTCACTTTAAACCCTACCCTCCTTTTTATCCAATTTAAGATGTTTTGTTTCAGAAATAGGAGGTAACTTTGATAACAATTATATGTCAATAGACTTATATACCCTTTTTAATACCTTTCACTTAACTTAACAAAATGGTTGAAATCTCACAATTTAGCCCTTCCCAACACAAAGGTAGTTATATCAAATTTTCTAGGCATAATTTGAACACCTATTCTTATTGGACTTAGAAGGATTCTTTTATGCTATACTGAACTGATGTCATTATACATCTATGTGTGTGTACTGGTGAGGGTCACTGGACTGGCACATACAATTAATGGTCATTCAAGGGAGACAACTGCTACACCATACTCCATGGTCACATGTCAGGACAATACGAGGTGTATTACAGAGACAGAAGCTGTAGCATTTAGTCAGGCCCTTGACAAACTATCTTGCACTCTTTGACTTTTGTCATGAGGAAACGGTTTTATCAATAAATGTTACAAAAGACACAAAATCCAACCACACACTCTGGGGGACCAAAACATTAAATCCTTGATTAATTTTTTTTAAATGATTTCAAAGATACAATAATTCATATTCAGTCACTAATTCTGACATCCTTCCTTGTCATAGAAACTGTATGTGTAATAACACAGGAAATGCCAAACACTTTAATCAGTCTAATTACTGTCAATGCTACATGTAAGATTGGTCATTTAAATGGTTGTTAATAATAACAACTGAATTGATGTTTGATATAACAATACAAGAGAAAGCTGTATGAATGCTTAAATGCATCAAAGAACCTTATGTCATATAATATAGAGAAAGCCCATGAATTGCCTGAATAGAACTGTCAAAATGGAAATGAAAAAGAACAAAATACAGCAAAACTTCATAACTCAGCAACTGGATATTGTTTGTTGTTTAATGCTGCACTCACCAATATTTCAGCTATATGATGGCAGGCTTTAACCAATCAAGTCTGGACCAGACAATCCAGAGATCGATATTGTGAGCAACGATCCACATTGATGGGGTATGATGACACGCAACCAATGAAGACACCGAGCCTGACCCCCCAATCCATTTGGTGACCTCATACCCCTAGCATGGGTTGCTGGGGATGCAAAGGGATCCATGACATCTAACAATAGTAACTTAGTCTCCTGGCAGAGCCCTTCATCTTCATGACTTGACCTCACACGAAACAAAGTCGGATAAACAAAACATTTCTTTCATTATTGCTTGGCTTGTGAATCTGCTGATCAAATGTTTCACAAATGTGCAAACAATGCTGATGTTTTAATGTTCTCAGATTAAACAAGGCATTCTAGACATTTTGTTTTTGATACTCCCTGCCAAGACTCCTACACATGTTAGTAATAAGCTATGTGTTTAAGTGGGAAGGTGATCATGACGGGTCGTTCATTTCATCTGTTCATGAGGTCAAAAAACACATATCACCTTGTTGCAATGTTTGTTTTATGCAAATTACTCATCCAAGTTGACCCTGTTTGTGCCCAGCATATGGAAACCCTGTCTATGAAGACAGTACGTCTCCAAGTGATCCACAAATCTCCATATGTGTGATATTCATATGTATGTACACACGTGAAAAAACTTGTGCACTGCTTCCTACATATTTCCATAACAAATAGACATTTTCTTAAACTGACCCAATATGATGAAAAACATTTGGTTTTGTTTACGAAGTAACATACTCATATTCAAATACACACAAAATCTTATAATCTAACGAGATGCTCCTTGGCACAGTTACTTGGCAACCTGTCACCTGCATCCTCTGTCCCATGCACCATATGACTTAGTACTGCGACCATCTGGAGGAACATGCAGTGGTTTGTATTAACATCAGCCACTGTCACCATATCCTAGACATTTCTTTGCATGTGTTAGTGACGGCTGCCGACGGTGGAGCAGGATATGCTCACCTTTTCGCGAATACCTGGCAACACTATTTGATAGTGATTCATAAACACATGCTTATGACATAATTTGAATTGAACAATCCACTCAAGATTTTTTATGACTATGGAAAAAAAGTTGTGCCTCTTTCAATTAAAAAGAGATCTATGTCATATTTGTGTAGCGGCCATAAAATTTATGAGTCCTGTGATGGGATTTGAACCGCTGACCTTCTGATCCGAGGTCGGACGCCATGTCAACATGACCAAAGGGGTTAGCTGACAAGGTAAGGATGTCATCTGTGGGATGCCTCCATGACCTGCTACATATACATATAACTGAATAAGGCTCATGGAAGATCGGGATATATGAAAATCATAAGGGCCGGTGCCTAACTGTTTTCCAGGTGTATATTCCCAACAGTACGATGGGCCTGCTAGACTACACCATACATCTGAAAAACATGGAGTAAACAAGACTTCCTTCCTCTATGTAACGCTGTTGTTTTATATTCCAGTATGTAATATCCTACTCAAAAGAAGAAAAGGAACACCCAATTCTTTCATATTACTATAGTTAATCTGTTAGGGAATTAAAGATTAGCCATACTAAAATGAAAGAATTGGGTGCTCCTGGACTTTTTTTGAGCAGTATAGAACTTGTTCCCTTCATGTTAAATCATAACATGAAGAGTTATACAACTGTATAAACATACACATTTTAGGAGAAGAAATAAGAAAAACTTACTCCTTGTCATGTCAAAATATCAGACTGATAAATATCACATTTGCTATTTCTGGGTATCAAAAGTTGGCCAATAAAGAATTGAAAACAGCTATTCCCACACTGTACCTGCAAAGAATGCCATTTTCCATATGGTAGGTAATGGTAAGGTATTATCCTGTGTAGACATGTGGCACATTGTATAACTGATATGCAGGTGTTTTGGGGGGATGAACTTACTCTAGATGCCATGGGATATACAGGTTTGAAGCTCTGGGTTACTGTAAATGATAGCAGTGAATCATCTATGAGTTTTTCATGTTTCAATAACAAAATTCTAAATAGAAACATTCATCATCCCAACGCTTTTGACAAAAAACAGAAAGGAGGTACCACATTTGGGAATGAATATTTTACAATGTGAATAATAAATATCTCAATAACAAAAAATCCTTACTCTTTCAGTTGATCTACACAAACATATGATAATGTTTAAATCCAAACAATAAAATCACTCGAAGAATATTGTTCACCTGTATGATGTACTCCTTCTTTAAATGTACTGGTGTAATGCTGAAAGAATTACAATAACAAATATCTGCATAACATAAATTCAATACAACATAAAACAAAATTGTGTTCGAACTTTCACTAGTTCTAATTTTCACATTTCCTATAGACGAAATTAAATATTCACCACAATTTCAAGCCCAAACTATGAAGCAAGTGTCCATCCTTGTGAATAAAGGCACATATCCAACTGCCTTCAGTGAGCCACAGGGAAGCTGCCTTTCCAAAACACTCCATGTCTGCATTAATGGTCAGCACTTGTTGCTCACTGCTAGTCTTCAATCCCTTAAAAATCTTTCCTACATACAAAAATAGTGTCACATATTTGCAATCCTTACAACATATTTAGGCACCATTCACAAAATCTGTTAATTGTCTATGTGTATATTTGTATTGCTTATCAAAGTAAACATTCATATGATGCATAATTTTTAAATATTGATCTAGACTTCAACATCCTCACAAGAACGAGTCAGTCATGTCAACAGGGGTTTGAAGCACCTTTTTCCGACGCTCCATAGCTTCGAGTAACTTTTTCCTCGGCCCAAATGGCAACCCTACTTCCTTCATTTCAACGTCTGACATTTTCATCAACAAGTCCAAGTCAACCCTTTCTTTAGTAAAATGAGAAATGTAATTTGGAAGCCCAGCAGACATCAGGAACATTTCCAAGGAAGAATACTCATTTTCCTCATCGTCATCATCCAGGTTTTCAAGGTCATCTTGGTCCCAAGGAAGATCCTGCATTCTGGCAGTGATGACGTCAGCATCTCCACCCTGGCCATTTGTCAACTCCTGGTCATCAAATCCCCCATTGACACCATTCATCATCCCACTCGTTCTATCACCTCCTGTTTCGAAAGACTGTAATGTGGACATTGCAGGATTAATCTTCCTGAAGAATGACGTCTGCCCAAAGCCAGGTCGGTACAATAGTCCAGGCTGATCCTCCTCATCCTCATGGTCACTGAAGTAGCTATCTACGCCTGAGTCTACTAAGAGATCAGACTCACTTTTGTAAGATTTACTCAAATTGCTTTTGTTTGGATCAAATAATTCGTACACTGCAGGTCGCGAGCTGCTGACCTCATTTGCAGAGTGTTCGCCACGGCTCGTCATGTACATCACCTCGGCTGAAGCCCCACGGATACCCTGTACTCCATCCAGGGACTTCACAGTCCGCTTACCTGACCCATCAACCTCGCTCGTCTTGAAAGATGAATCTTCAAACAAAGGGTTTGTTATCTTCTTCTGCAGAACCTTCTTAGCTACCCCAGTTCTAGTCCCGTACGTGAGGCCCGCCATGTCCGAGTACTTCTTGCCATACGCAGGACCCGGTCTATTTTTGGCATTTGCTCCACCACGTAACTTCACTGTCAATGTTTTGAAAATGGATTTCTTTTCAGGTGCTTTGAAATCATTATTCATGCTGTTTAATTTCCGTTGTTCTTTTTCTGCTCGCTTTTCAGCCTCTTCTTGAAGTTTTTCGTATCGTTTAATGTTTCTATCAGCATTCTTCAAAGCTTCCTCTTTCAATTTGGCAACGATTTTGGGGTTTTTGATTTGTTGCTGTGAACAAGAAGTATCAAGAAGACGAACAACCTCATGTTTTTCATACAGTGATGCAAGATCCATGGCAGAGTGATGATCGTTGTCGAGTGCAAAGAGGTTGCAACCCCAGTTGATGAGGTAGCTGACGACGTCGACATGGCCCCACCTGGCGCTGTGGTGAAGAGCTGTGAAGCCCTGGTAGTCGCTCTTGTTGACATCGCCTCTGCAAAACAAACAAAGACAACTTACATTTGGAACATTATCAAATTTAACAAGATTATATATCAGTGAGTGAATGAGTTCTTAGGCAGTTTTGTTATCATGGTATGTCAAACAAAACTAATTTCTAAGGCTGCTTTATATAAAAAATAGTGTCCCATTGAAAACTATTTTGGTGATTGGAGTGAGTAAGTTGGAGTTTAACGCAGCTTTGAGCAGTATTCCACTTATATCATGGCATATTCACTTGACGTGGGAGAATATACAAAAGTGCTGCTGGCCTACCACTTCGGTCACAACCCACAAGCACGGGGATGGAGCTGACAAAACAAGAATCAATCAGGGAGAATGTGGGATTTTAAACCACAATTCTGGTGAGGTTTCGGGCACATCTAAAGGAAGCATTTCTGCATTGTGAATTACAGCACCTGAGACGAATGAGACCACCTCTTCCTTAAACGTAGATACAATCATCACAATATTCATAATATCAAAACTAACAGGCCACTCCTAGAGTGCAAGATTCTATATTATTCTGGTAGCATGTTCCTTATTAAAGTGAAGGGAGGGAGTTAACTGACTATGAAAGTCCAGTTCCCACCCTTGCCAAACTAGGCTGGAATTATGGAGTTATAGTTTCCCTGGACTAACAAGTCTATGCATAGTCCAATCAAAATCATGTAACGAAATCGACATCCGGTTCGTCAACTGCTGTGCAGATTTCGGTCGATTGCAGGATTTGTAAAGCATGTGTACTGCCAACTCAGCATCAACAGATATTTCCAAATCTGTTCATGTTTTTAATCAAGGTGCTCATGTGACTTGATGCATTTGGCTAAGTAAAACCCATTTTTTACAAATTCAGTCAAGTCCCGTTAATCCAACATGGTTGGAAGCATATGATTATGTTGGATTAACGAGTATGTTGGATAAACGAGATTAAGTTGTATCAGCGTTCGTGATCGAAAATCAGACAACTTCACAACAGATAACGATACAAACCTGTAATAAAGAAATGAATAATGAAATATTCATATTGTTATGTTACATTGTTAGCGGAATGTGTTTTCTAATCATGCAAACTCTAAAGCTTAACACACGGTTAGGGCTGTATGACTGGTTCAACATATTTTAAAAAGCATAGTCATGAATGCCACAATGCTTAAGAAAGCTGCTTTCTTAGTAGCTTATGTCTACTCCCTGTTAGTTATGTCATTGGTCCATCAAAGTTCGCGAAAGGTCGTTCTGACGTGACCTGTAATGGATGTCCTCAGCGGTAGCGAGAACTTGTATCTGATTTTAATGATATTGAGGTAATCTAAGCATGTGATTAATCCTGTTTTGTTTACTTAAAGCATTAATTGTTTATTGTTAAGCAAGTTTATATCTGCAGCAGTTGTAATATGTAGGTAACAGCCGACTTGTCTCGCATCAAAACATGGGGCTGTGTACTTGCGGGCAGATGACCACGGAGTACGCTGATCACTGTGTTGGATTAATGAGACAGATTAATGAGTGATTTTGGTAATTCGTTGCAAATTAGGTGTGTCGGAGTTTGAGTGCGAGACTGTGGGCTTAACGGGTCTAAATAGCACTGATTTAATCAGTTCCCATCATTAGTGTCGGATAAAGCAGATTGTTGGATTAACGAGTGTCGGATTAACGATACTTGACTGTAGATCTTGATTATCGATCTGATCGTCTTGACTGGGAGCCGCCATTTTGTTAGAAGCAAATGCAAGTGATATGAGAGGTGGAACCTGATTGGTCAGTAGGAGGGATATAGAAGGGACATAACCCATTATAGCCGCTGGTGGCGGTACCACAAGCCCAGAAATTCCAGTCCAGTTTGGCAAGGATGGAAACTGGACATTTATAGTCATTTAAGTCCCTTGCCTCGGGAAGATGGCAAATCAGGGGCATAAAGTTGCCATGTTCACGTCCCATCCTGGCACATTGAGTTGAACAGGATGTCACATGTAATATATTTTGTGTATTTCTATACAATCTTCGTATGTACAATGAATGATCAGTGATGTCAAACGTCTAATTATAACATCATTACATGAAGCCATGACTTTATTAAATATGGCGACTGTAAGATGAACACATGGGCAGATCCATAGCACCTAGAAACGCAAAATCAAATCTCAGGAATTTTAAAATGTTTACCCAAAATCACGAAGTGAACAAAAACACATCCTAGGTGGGCATGTTTGGGGTCTGAAACGGGAGAGGCTTTAATATCATCTTAAATGAAGACTTTGGAAGGTTAACTTTTAGACAGGGATGGCAAGTTCCAGGAGTTGCCCGCCCTTTGGTCTTCATTCCCTGGGGTAGGGATGGATGCCCACCCCTCTGGATCTATCACATCTCCCTGAAGCAAGAGAGTTAACTGACTATAGCCCAGGAATTCCAGCCTAGTTCGGCAAGGGTGGAAACTGGACTTAAAGTCAGGTAACACCCTTGCCTGGGAAAGATGGATCTATCAGGGCCGGTTATGTCTGCTATTCACACAATGTCATCACCAATCTCATTAAAATCAGATCTTAGTTCTCGCTGTCGCTGAACAAAGATCTGAAGACATCCCATTAAGGGTCAAGCAGAATGACCTTTCATCCAACCAATCAGAGCGTCGCTTACCAGATCTTGAAAGTGACAGTCGGAATGTGTTTTCTAATCATGTAACCACGAAATATTTAACACGGAGTATTCCGAATGACAGTTACGGGTTTTATGATTATATCCATACAATCTAGGCCATCTATAAGCCATTCCAGAATATTCTTCTTATCAGTTTTAATTTTTTTTAATCGAGAATACGTCAAAATATGTTTCGAAGCGTAGTCAGCAGTTTGAAACTAGTGTCGTAAAGCTCAAGAAAGCTGCCTTCTGATTGGCTAATGTCGATTTCTTGTCGGCATTTCATTGGTCGGTCAAAATTCGTGAAAGGTCGTTCTGACGTGACCCGTAATGGGATGTCCTCAGATCTTTGTTTAGCAGTAGCGAAAACTAAGGTCTGATTTTAATGAGATTGTGTCATCACAGACAACGTCTGAATGAACTGATTAGTCACCACTTGTCTAGGCCCTACTGACACACGTCGAGTCTCCAGACCACACACAAAAAGAACATGTCAACTTGAAGCATCCTCCAACTCTGTACAAGATACTTTGTTAAAGTGTGCCTGAGGAAATCTTCCACATCCTCTATCTTCAATGGATGGACTGACATCTGATCTACTCATGGTGCATTATAAGTAGTATTTAACTGTATACATTGATGAATGCAATATGCCAATCTCGGTACAAAACGGGTGCAAGGTGTAGGGAAGTGAATTTTAAAACTTTTAGAAAAGCTGTGCATACAATGGTAACTCCAACATGTACAATGACATATGCGGACCCTGGAGTTTCAACTATTCATGTTCACATATATTAAAACACATAGAACTGAATCATTTAGTAAAAAGGTTTAAAAAAGAACAGCAAATTATTACCTAAAGTATTTCCGTTCATTGTAAATGTACCTCCCTTTATTAATTTTTTTATTTATGAACCCTCCCTTTTTAAAAAGCTGTGTGCCCTGCCTTTCCAAAAGCCGAATCTGCGTTTGTAATGTTAAAGGACCAAAGGACAAGCCACTATTTTTGTATACCTGATGACAACAGCAAATGTCAAATTGTGACATTTAACGGAGCTCTGTTTTAAGACATTAAGCGCTCAGACAGATAAGTTTATTGCTTGCCATCAAATTGTTTTTAGAGACAAAATATTTCACATACGCATAGACATATTGATAGACATATTTATTATCTTAATCAAGCCAAGAAAAACAGTTTTACCTAATGAAACATACTAATTTCTCACACAAAGCTACTTGTCAACCTGTTGTATATTTCTGAATACCTGTCAGTCCGCTGTCATCCCACGGACTGAGTCGTGATGTCTGGCTCAACACAGTGATTTATCTCACTGATCAATATAATGGCAAAAGCATGTAACTCAACAATCCCTTCCTGGGCCAAAGTGATATTATTCCTGAGCACAATAAATAACTCTTTCTTTCCTAGACATGCAAATCATATGGTACCTGTATATGCACACACCCTTCACACTGACAGTGTATGCTGATTAACGGGAGATCCTTCTGCATAGGGATCGCTGGTTAACATGACATCTGTGGAACAGAACTTATGGAAGTCAACTTCTTTATTACGAGGAACTAGGTCTGGGACGGGTAACTCGGGTACCCAGGTCGGGTGGGTACTGAGTAGGACCCGGGTACCCACAGGACTACCCGGACCCGTGGTTAGTCACGTGATATATTGTTTAATGACAAAATTATCTAGAACTCTATGGTTACACTACAAGTCACTAATGTTCACATTTCTTTCTGACTATGCACCCATTCCTTCTGATTTTTCATATGGGTGAATAAAGATATAACTTAATTCAACTTCAGTGTAAGAATGACCAGATTGTTTAATACATGTATCTAAATACGTTTTGCCAGGACTATGCTAAAAATGTTCCCAATCGGACATTTTGATACATCTCTTGAGACCTACAGTGGGTACCTGGGTAGGGTCAGGTAATAGGGTGGTGGGTACCCGGGTAGTAAATGTGGACTCGTCCCAGCCCTATGAGGAACACAACGTTTCGGAGTATATGCTAACTCCTTCATCAGGTGATTGAATGAAGGAGGAACCATATACTCTGAAACATTGTGTTCCTCATAATAAAGAAGTTGACTTCCATAAATTCTCTAACTTATGTGTATAACTTCTAAATGCCTTTCAAAGACTTGAAATGTCACCTGGCTCACAGTGTATTTCTACCACAACGGCACTCTATTGTACTCCAGGTTCTCTGGGTCTAAATTGTCTCACCCCACTGAATTCTCCAATCAACTACTGGTTTTCTATGTCCGAGTGTGGCACCCTATGACACTCCGGGTTGTCTGGTCTAGATTGTGACACCCCATAGTACTTCTCCCATCATC